TTTGCACACCGATGTTCATAGCAGCATTATTCACAGTGGCCAGGACATGGAAGCAACCGAAGTGTCCTACGATAGATGATTGGCTAAAGAAGCTGTGATACACATATACAATCGAATATTACTCAGCCATAAGAAGAGATGAAATACTGTCATTTGGGACAACCTGGATGGACCTCGAGATAATCATGCTAAGTGAAATAAGCCATACAGAAAAAGTTGAAAATCACATGATATCACTTATATGTGGGATATAAACCTAAAAGCAACAAATGAACAGGACAAACAAACAGAGATTCTTGGACATGGACAGTGGACGAGTGGTTACCAGGGAGTAGGGGAGGAGGGGAGAGGTAGACGGTGTAAAGGGGGTCAATGGAGGAGAGTAGGGGGAGGGTAAAGTGGGTAAAGGGGATCAAATATATGGTAGCTGAAGGAAACTGGACTTTGGGTGGTAATCACACAATAGAATATATAGATGTCAAATTATAATGTATGCCTGAAAATTATATAATTGTATTAACTAATGTTACCCTAATAAACTTAATTAAAAAAAAAAAAAAGATATTCTTTCTTCTGAGAGATTACACCATAGAACACTGAGTGCCTAGGAATAGATTTATCTAACAAAGAAAACCGAAATCCTTTTGTAACATTCTGAATGGAGAAATGATACAAAAAGATATTGGTCAGAACCTGTAACACTTTTTCCTTTAATTAAAGGGAAACTGGGTTGTAAAGTGTAGCTTATTAAGTACTGTGGTCAGGAGCTCCTGTTAGACAAAAATTGGAATAGTTCTCTAAGTAAATTTATTGCATGAAGAAGCTGCTGGTGGATGATAATAGATCTGGTGGTTCCAAAAATTAGTATTAGTAGAAAAATAAGTTGATGTTGACTGCTGATAATTACAAAATCTTGGAGTACTTTGTGGTGGAGCCTTTCATGTTTTCCAGTATAAGCACAATAGGAGGACTTGTGGTGTTGCTAGAGGAATTTCTTTAATATCATCAAATATCTGGTAAGTTTTAACAGTGAATTTTTAAGACAGAATAAAATTCCTCAATGAATAGCCTATAATCTACTTAATCATTTCATTATTAAGGTTGTTGACAATTTTATGTGATTATAAATAGTTGTGATGAACAAATTCATGCCTATAACTTTTTTTTAGTTGAATCATTTTCTTAGGAAGGGTTTCTAGAAGTTTAATAACAAAAAGTACAGAAAGTCACATGATGTTATATCAAGTCTCCAACTGTATATGTTGTATTAAGGGATTCTTTGTTTAGTCATAGCAACCCATAAGCAGAAGACCTCAATAACCTCCTTAACAATAGTGGCCTTAACAAAGGGGTGGTTCATTGTCCTACTTGGGGAATGTCTTACTGGATCTTTACTGGAACCCCCTGTAGGCCTTGTGGTGATAGACAGCCTCTTTTTTATTCTCTTGCCATATAAAGGATGGCTAAGAATTTAAATCATTTTCCACAGTATTATGACCTTCCACTTCAATCTGTCCCACTTTTTGATGTATTAGCTTAGGAATCAAATTTGAATTTCATTTTCTTCAGTCATTAACAGCTATACAGGATATCAGGATTATTTATTGAGATATAACTGAAATATTAGTTTGAGGTATAGAATATAATAATGATTTGATTTTTGTATACATTCCCAAATGACCACCACAATAAGTCTAGATAACATCACAGGATTCTTCTATCTAAGGTGGGAAAAATTATGCCTTAATCTTAATCTTAGTCTTAGAGAGAAACATGAGTACTAGAAAACTTGATTCTATGTTTTAACCATTTTTAAAAGGTAAAGTGGAAATTATTTGAATCATTTAAATTTAGAGTTTAAATTTAATTTTGTTTGGATTAGTAAACAGGATTTTGAGTGTCAATAATAGTCTAGATAGGTGATTTAAAACTACAATAAGCAATATGTCTCGTCTGCTGTTATTTGGGAAGCAGAGGGGGATAATACAAAGAACATGAGCTTTGGAGTCAGATCTGAGTTCATTTCTTGACCTTGCCACAGTGATACCAACAACAATGATATTAAAAATAATTACCTTTTATTGACTACACTATGTACCAGACACTATGCTAAGCATTTTATATATGAAATCTCATTTAATTTTCACAATAACCCTGCAAGATAAGTATATGATCTCTAGTCTTATAGAGAAACTAATGCTCACAGCAGTTATATATATAGCATCTGGCCTAGCTAGGTCTGTCTGTGTAGTCTTTTTTTCTTTCTATTTTATAATGATTATTTTCTTCTTTCTCTAGCCACTCTCCCAGCTTTCCCAGAATTCCCTCCCCAGTTTGTGGGTATGAGTTCTTCGCTGTTCGGTATAAATGTTAGGTATACTTATAGAAATGTTTGGAATGGAGGCACTGCTCTAAGGAGTTCCATCACAATATACTTTCCTGTTTTTATGACACAGACTCTAGTGAAAATCTGAGTTTAATATATGGCATGTGATTATAATATATGAGAGAAAGAATGCTTCAAAGGTTGCTTACTAGTTCATATTTTCATTAGTTACTGATCTCTTCCCAGAGTTTTCAAAGTTGGACATTAAGTCAGGGCATTTCAACTCTTCTGTTCATCTTTTTTTGTCTCAACTTTGCTTTTTTACAGAGTTTGAATTCTTATACAAATGGTGCATATGGCTCACCATACCCCACTGGCCCTGGGGCAAATACTGCCTCATACACTGGGGCTTATTACACACCTGGATATACTCAGACCAATTACTCCACAGAGGTTCCAGGCACTTACCGCTCACCTGGCAACAGCCCAGCCCCAGTCTCTGCTTGGATGTATCCTCAGCAGGACTGCCAGACTGAAGCACCTCCTCTTAGGGGGCAGGTTTCAGGATATCCTACTTCACAGGTGAGCATTTTTCTGTTGGGTTTATATTTTTTAGTATTCTAGGAATGATACCATGTTTATTTCTCTGTTCACCTTAAGAGGAGTTCTAATATATCTTCATTTGTGCCTCCTTATAACATATGGGTCTGCTTATTTAGAGTATCTATGGGACAGACTTATGCCGTGCTTCGGCCATTGAATTTTAGGTCCATTCCTTCTGAGTTTGATCATCATCAAATCTGCCCCTGGTATCTTTAGAACCAAGCTTTTTTAGGCTTGGAGAAATTGCTTTAACTGATCAGAGATGCTACAGTTTAGCCCAGTATAAGCTAAAGTACTCTGTTAAGCAGAGAGGAAGCATCTCTGCATCTGTTTATACTAGAACATTTTTATTACTTCTTTAAGGTATTTTTTAAGGTATTTTTTTTTTTTAGCAATGACCGGCATATTTCCTTCCTCTCAACCTAGAACCCTGGAACAACCCTGCCCCATTATCCTTATGGGGATGGTAATCGTAGTATTCCACAACCAGGACCATCTGTACGACCACAAGAGGACTCATGGGCTTCTCCTGGTGCTTATGGAATGGGAACCCGTTATCCCTGGCCTTCAGCTGCGCCCTCAGCACCACCTGGGAATCTCTACCTGAGTGAAAGTACTTCATCATGGCCTACCAGTGGCTCTCCTCAGCCACCTTCTTCACCACCAGCCCAGCAGCCCAAGGTAGGAGACCTTCTAAATGTTCTTTTGATGTTTGGATAATTGAGAATACAACATGGTATTTTTCTGGATTGGTCTATGTTAAATGGGGACTAATTACAAAATGTTGGTGACTACTACTTTAGCCTTACATAGCCCAGTTTACTTTTTATTTTATTTAAAAAAAAAAAAAAAGACTATTTTTTAGAGCAGTTTTAGATTTACATCCTCTTTTTAAAAGACAAAAAAAAACGTTCTTTTATTGTTTGTCAAAATATTATCTGAATGTTGAACAAAATCAGAAATTTTGTATTTATTACCTCAATCTATAGACAGAAGACAAAACCAATGCAAAATTGTATGGTTTAAACCAAAGACTTGAACATCCTTTGCTTATGGCTAGGTTACTTTTCATGACCTGTCTTAAGGTTTTAACTCTTCATGGGAAAAACTATCTAATTCCTATTTATTAAGTCACTGAATAGATTGTGAGGTGGTAAGGATAGATTATGAGGTGTTCATGATGATGACCTGCCTCAGGGAGGGTTCCAACCATTATACTCAGGAATTCTCTGCCTTTTACTTGTCAGGATACTCCCTTTTATCTTTTTAAGGCTGTGTTTTTCTCAAATCATTAAGGAGGGAGGTCAAGTTTTACTGGTGGGGAATCTTTTCATGTATCTTCCTGCTCAGGTGAAAGATGTGGGCTAATAAATTTGATGTTGTTGGATTCCTATTAAAACAGCTTCTTGTTCCCTCTCTGCTTTCCATTCCAAGGATTCCTCATACCCCTATAGCCAATCAGATCAAGGCATGAACCGGCACAACTTTCCTTCCAATGTCCATCAGTATGAGTCCTCGGGAACAATGAACAGTGATAATTCAGATCTTTTGGATTCTCAAGTCCAATATAGTGCTGAGCCTCAGCTTTATGGTAATGCCACCAATGAACATGCCAGCAATCAAGAGCAAAGTAATAATCTTCCTGAAGAGTGTTTATCTTCAGATGAAGGTACTCCCCCAAGTATTAAAAAAATCATACATGTGCTGGAGAAGGTTCAGTATCTTGAGCAAGAAGTAGAAGAATTCATAGGAAAAAAGACAGACAAAGCATACTGGCTTCTGGAAGAGATGCTAACCAAGGAACTTTTGGAACTGGATTCAGTTGAAACTGGGGGCCAGGACTCTGTCCGGCAGGCCAGGAAAGAGGCTGTTTGTAAAATCCAGGCCATACTAGAAAAATTGGAAAAAAAGGGATTATGAAAGGATTTAGAACAAAGGGAAGCCTGCTACTAACTTGACCAAAGGACTCTTGGTTTTGGTTAATTACCCTCTTTTTGAAATGCCTGTTGATGACAAGAAGCAATACATTCCAACTTTTCCTGTGATTTAAAACTTGAAAAACTGGTAAAGGACTTGGAACATTTTTATTATGAGTTGTTTTCAGCTTTCAGACCAATGAATGTAATAGGAAACTATGGAACTATCAATATTGCCAAGTAGATTCATTCCTTAAGAAATTTATGGTTATCTGCAAGCTGCTTCTTATCAGCAGGAGGGAAATACACTTTATGTAACAGGCTTATCAGAAACCTACCATATGAGACTGGATATAATCTGAAACAAACAGGCTCTGTTTTTTAAAACACCTGGATTATTTGTCACATTTTTGTACATTGTGACTGCTTTCAGCATACACTTCCTGTGTAATTACAGCTTGGACTTAGCCTTGTTGGACCTCTGTTTTGTTTTGTTATTTGCAGTTCACAAATATAGTATTATTCTCTACTTCTTGGTACATTTTGTAGTAATATGTTTAATATAATTATTCAAGAGGCTATATTGACAGCCAGATAGTATGGCATTTCTGAATGAATTTATATCTTTTCACCACTTGAATATATTGCAGTGTGTAGTGAGTTCCTGAGGTAAATTGCCTCCTTTTCTGTATAGTTCATTAGGTTAGAGTTTTACCACTTCTACTTTTCATGTTAATAGTGGAAGGCGAATTTGGAAATGGCATGGGCATAAGAATGAAAATGTTTGTGGCCATTTTTCTTTTTTGCTCTTTTATTGTATTTGGATAAAGATCCACTTAAAAAATTTTTTCCCCTTAATTATCTTTACACTAGTGCTGCTTCCATACCGAGCATTGTGAAAGATAACAGATGAAAAATTAAATGCCACAGTGGATAGAAATAATAACTGTAAAAGTAATAAATACGACTATTTGGAAATGCTATTCTGCATCCAAAATATTAGTTTTCATTGTCAAAATCCCTATGAGCAGATTGCAGCTCAGTTTATAGTCCAAACAATGAGGGTAAAAGAGAATTCATGCTCAGGGAATAAAACAGCCATAGCTAGAGCAGGAAATTATTTTTTTCTTTTAAAGGTAGATTTGATGTTTATTGCCCTAGAATAAATTGCATAGAAATTGTTGTGTGTTTTATAAAAAGATTTTTATTACCAATAAGAGTCATTTTAGAGCCAAATTTAAGGAAGAGTTATTGAAAGGATCTTAGCTGGGCTTACTTGGGTAGCTCTATGCTATTGGATAGAAGAGAGTTATGTAAATAACTTACTTTTTACACCTGAAGTGAGTTGTAGTATACAGTATCTGTTACTGGAAAAATAGCTTGTTGCTTAATAAGATAGCCAAATGATAAATGTTTTTTTTTTTGACTGACAAGTCTATTAGTAATAATAAATTGATCAGTCATCTCTCCTTATTGAAAAAACAAAACTAATACAAACATTATGATGAGAACAGAGAACAAATGGAGGAAAAATATTGGCTGGGTCTTATGGTTGAGGTTAGTGATTTTATGAGATAATATGGTAATAATGTTATTCTAGGATTTTAATTTTTGGCCTAATATAGGAATGTTAAAAAAAAAAAAAAGGCTTTTCTATGAATATTAGAAAATAGTACTTGATACTAAAAATTTAGAAGGGGGATACCCTTAAAGTTAAGTTAACATAAACCAGTGAGACAATTACTAATTGTCAGGAGAGAACACTGCTATTTAACTGAGTGCCCAAGATACCAGTTTCCATTGTCTTGATTTATATATATACACAGGAGATTATGAACCTATATACATATATGTGTGTTTTCTTAAGTTTTTAAAAAAATTTGAGATAATTTTAGACCACCTGAAGAGCTGTAAAAATAGTTTCTGTATACTTTTCTTTCAAATTCCCCTTCTGTTAACATCTTACATAACCATAGAACATTTGTCAAATTAAGAAATTAGCCTTGATGTACAATACTATTAACTAAAGTAGAGAATTTTAAAAGTAGAAATTTTCTTAGTCTTTTCACTAATGTCCTTTTACTTACTGTTCCAGGTTCCAGTGCAGGATCCCACCTTGCATCTAGTTGTCATGTCTCTCTAGTGTCCTCCAATCTGTGATAATATATTATAACACCTGATGTTGTAATGTATTTCTGGTGTTGTTAATCTTAATCACTATCTACAGTGGTGTCTGCTAGGATCCTTTACTGAAAATTACTGTTTCCTTTGTGATGACTGAATATTTGCTAGAGATACTTTGAGACTATGCAAATGTCCCGTTTCTGCTTAAACTCATTTCGTATTCATTGGCAGTTCTTGCTGTGTCGGTTACTACTTGGTGTTCTAATGATGATTTTCTATTTCTCTCATTCCTTCTACATTTATTAATTGGGTTCTTCTGGAAGGAAAGGTTATCGCTTCTGGATTTATATTTTTAATTGTAATAAGATATTCAGGTTACGTAGAACTTAAAGCTGTAAACTATATTAAAATGATTCCAAATACCAATATCAAAGAAAGGAAAACTAAATCGGTAATGTGTTTCAGAAAATATAATGAATTTATGAAGGAAAGTAGTATTTATGATTTATGGATTTGGTTCAGTTTTTTAATAAATATTGACTCCAGACTGAATTCAAAATTTTCTTAAAACTTCACATCTGGCCTTTTTAAGTGCCTAAATTTATATTACTTTGGGGTAATTTTTGTCAAAATCTTGAATGGTTACCCAGACCTGGCATGTTAAACACAACTATGTCTTTTTTATAATAAGCCACTATTGTTCCAAATATAAATGCAATATGAATACTTAGACAAATAATGAACTATCTGGGGGATGGGGTTATGCTTGTCTTTACATTGTTGCTATGTTTTGGAATTCTTTGAAATGCTTTTAAATAGAGTTTCAAAAACAATTCTTTAGTTGGTTAATATAATACATTAAAGTTATGCAGATTTTCTAAAAAGTTTAAGAATATGGATTGCATTGGCATTTAAAAAATATTTTTGGGGCATAGATAGTTGATGACTGGAATTTTTCTTTTTGCATCTTTCTTTTTTAAAAAAGTTATGAGTTTAAAGAATCAAATAATTTTATGGAAGTTATGAATTTAAAGAGTTAATTAATTCTAAGAAAAGGATCATTCTCCTGCTCCCACTCCTATTTTTAAATCTGCAAAAGCAAACACTTTCATTTGAGTTTTTAAAAAAATTGTCCCCATATTTTTCAATAGCACAGTTATATTGCTTCTTCTTGATTTATCAATTTTAGGTCATTTCTACTGATTTTCTCTTTAGAAGATGAAGGTTTAGGTTTATTTCTCTGCCCCTACACATCTCAGTCTTTATCCCCCCAACTTCTCAATCTACTTGTGTGGTAATTTTGTTAACTATGTAAGTACTAACCAGAATGCAGTCATTCATGTATGAGTAAACTGTATGATTAACCTTCCTGAACAACTTATTTTCCCTGGAATTAATCACTTGTCTTACTTATTTTGTTTGCTTATGTACTTATGACTAATTCGACCTCAAACTGTTTATCATTTTTAAATCTTCTCTTAAGATGCTCAGTGTACTTTATCAATTTCAAACTGAAGCATTCTATCCTAGAGACTGGAGAACTGGTATGTTCCTGTGTATGCTTTCATTCTGGAATCTTCTACTTATCCTCTTGGTTTCCTGTTTTCTGTAGCCTCTCTTAGTTTAGTTTTTCATTTTGGTGCAGTGCATGTTCTTCCAGTAGTTTCCCGTGAAAGGGTGCCTGGGACATAATTCTTTTACATCTTGCATATTTGAAAATGTGTTTTCGTGATATTTTGTATAAAACCCTATTTTTCTCTCTGAAAGCTTGTAGGATATTTTTGTCTCCTCTGTTCTGAAATTTTCTAACAGCATAGCTTTGCTGTGGGTCTGTTTTATCTATTTGCTGGGCACATTTTGTTCTGGAAACTCATGCCCATTAAGTCCCATGAAATTCTCTTGATTTTT